TATTGGGCAAGGTAATAATAATAAAATAACATATTATTATAATATTTTATTCACATTGTATACTAAATCAATATATTTATTATATATATTGTATGTGGTAACTTGTTGCTACAAGTAATCGCTTAGTATGATAGATCAAACCAAATCTATGAGAAAAAGTGTACTAAACAGATTGATAGAGGCGTTTAAGTAGACACGTTACAAACTCCTATAATCGTCTAGTACGTGAGCTGGAAGGCAATTCGCTCTATAAATAATAAACCGATTCAAGTCAAAGTCGTGACTTTGGTAAATAAATATTAAGCATAATATTATCATATGGATTTAATAGCAGTTTTTAGCTCATTTTCTAAAGGTTTTTGATTAGACACAGTCACAAACAATAAATTAAAAATTAGTAAATTACATGTTATTTTAATAGATATACATTTGATTGGTGAACTAGCAAGAATTGATAATATCACATAATACAATTGAGAATATGAGATTTAAGTAGGTACCTATTGTTTGATGATATTTCTTGATACGTGACGTGAGACAAATCACGCATATTATATTGTTAGTGGTTTGAGAGAGCTGTTATTTATTGTGAATATTTCATTTATTTTTATAAACATTTCAATTTAGAGATTAAATAGTAAGTAAAATATCTTACGCTAATTACGCGTACGCAGGAAACCAAACACAAGTTGTAATTTACAGCTTCTAGAATAATTCTCAGCAGATATTAAAAATCTCGGAAACTGAGGTAACAAGAAAAATAGATGCAATTTCATATTAAACTAATATACAATACTTAAAGTATAATTCTGTATACTGCATTTAAATTTAGAGCGATATTATATATATCTAAGTATTTTGCATAAGAATTAAGAGAGATCTTAATAATTTGAAACTTTATATTTTAATTGATTATATTTGCACTTTTATACAAAATATTTTATTAGTATTATTGTCATATTATAGCACTGTCTGTTGTTACAAATATAACATTATGCAATAAAAGCTTAAATTATCGAGTATATGAAGTACTTATTTAATACTCATCACTAGCAATACGTAATCAACGAAGTACAATGTAAAACGACGATCTCAATCGGTAACACATTTATAATATAATATTATTAGTTTATTTTACATTTAGGATTAATTATGTTTTTCGGCGCACGTACAGTTAAACAAAAAATTTTTAAACAGAAACCACTATTTTCGAGATTTGATTTGGATTGTTTCATTTTTCTTAGCAACTTTGATATTTACAGTTTTTAATATCTTCAAAATTGACATTTTTTGGACAGTTGAAAGTGTTAAATTAAATAATTCGTTATTATCGCTTTTTTCAACGCTGTATTATAATCATGAATTTATAAGTATTATTATAATTTATAACAATTTATTTCTAATAAAACTTCAATTGTATTTATTATTACTTCAAATTTAAAATAATATATCATTTAAATATATTGTTAATTTATTATTCAATAAGCTGTTCAAAGTTATTGCCATTATTTTCAACGCATGCTTTCATCACAAGCAGTAGTTCCCTTTGTGTATTTGTTGTCATTTAATCTTCGGTGAGTTTATTACAAGCAATGATTATTTTATTTTCAAATTTTCAAGATCAGTTGGCGGATTAGCATAAACAACTGTTTTTAAATATCTCCTTAAAAATTGTTCAATGTTGTTATATCAACTAATTTATGGAAACTTCGTACTAGACCATATAGTATGTTCGCATCCATTTATGGCCATATATTTGGCTAAGATATTCTCAAACAGTTATTGAATTATGGGTGGGGTCCCTACCTGATCAAAAAAATCAGGTTAGGTATCTAAGTTTCAGTTCATTCAAAAATGCTAGAAGTGTGTTCGACAAAAAGTCTAAGTTTCTTCTACTTGTCAACGCACCATCATAAAATTAAGAACGTAATAATTTACCACATAAAAGCCTACACCATATATTCGTTCCCTACATATGCTGAAAATTTGAATCATTTATACAATAAAAATCGTGATCTGAACAATAGAGGTAATTTTCTTTGTAGATAACACCGCAATTAGTAAATTTTGTTTCATCAGTCCAACAAAAATATTTTAAAAATAGTAGTTCTTCTTTAAATTGTGCCATTAACCGTGCAATAAATGGAGGTCTTATATCGAAATCACTGGGTATTAAATTTTGTATTATGTTAGGCCAATATACGTATAATTTATTATACTATATTATAGTACGAGTAAAATCGATTAATCACACTGTATTTTATAATACATGTTAATTAATAATAATAATATTTAATTAGTCAATCAGTCTATTGACTTATATAGGTACTAGTCTATATAGTATTCAATATATTAAAATAATCAAATAAACAATATTGTATATTTATAATATATGTATACGGAAAAACCAATCATAACTTCAATCATTGAGTTTTTTCATTATAAATTTTATTCATTCAAGTTATTAGAATCTATTTTGAACTTAAATCTTCACACCGTAACTTTTTGCGGTAAGGTAATGCATAATACTTGAACAAGTTTTACGTTGAGTGAAAATTTCGTAGCGTTCCCTACACCACTGTTAAAAATTAGATTTAAAAAAAGGAAATAAATATACCACGAACAATAATAAGTACAACTATTATATTATCTATTCACTGATATTATAAATAAACAATACTATCGATTTATATTACACGATCTCAATAGTGTTATAAATTAATAAAAAAAAATCTACGTCACATACGGCTATATATTATTAAGCCTATAGGCTATAATATCATGATAGGATCGGTAACTCCACTGATTCCAAACGCTCTGTGTTCACGTGCTACTAAGTACTTTTATGATATACTTGTAAAATAAGAATAACGCCGATTCGGTACGACTATTGGTGGTGGAACTTAAACGTGCTTGAGCGTAACGCTACATATTTCGTGTTATAGATATTATAATATTATAATTATTATTATTATGCCGGTTTATCCTTAAAAAAAAATCACTTAATCCGTAGTGTAGAAGTGAACAACGAGAATAATAATCATCGCGACCTAACGCTCTATATGTTCCATATAATCACCCAAGTTTAACAACAATGCCGTCTACTGTGAAACTGTAATATAAAACGCTTTGTTTAAACTCGTGCCTAATCATATTTCAATAATATTACTAAGGTAAGAATATACACCGTGACGAAATAGAACTACATATAAATAAATTAGCAAATACCTATAACACATTTCATGTTGTATATTTTTTAACGTTTACATAATTTTTAAGTCTATTTATATAATATATGACATACTATGTAATATATAGGTAGACATTAATGGTGCATCTACGTATAAGCTTAATGCTTATATTTTTAATACCCTTACGAATGAAACGTCTGGGTAAACACGATTTCATAACTGTCTGCATTTAATTTTTACCTTTAAAGTCGAAACAACTTTTAACAATCCACTATTCATATTTTCACAAATGTGTTACGTATAGTATATTATCGAATTTATTTGAGATCTAAGTTTATAATATCATTATACAGTATTTTATAATAATGTACTTTTAACGTTTTAAATAGCGGCCCGAGCGCCATCTATCCTATTAACTAATTCTTGATAAAACAATTATGTATTTAATTTGATTTACATTTTTTTCTTTTTATCCAATTCATAACTACCTACGAGTATGCATCCCCTTTTGAGAAGAAAAAAAGTTAGTTGTCACATATGATAACATCTTGTTTGAGGGGGGAGAGTATAAAGGTTTGAATACAGTACAAAAAAAAAACAAATTAACAATATAAATACAACAATACAATATTAGTAAATCCAAACAAATGATTTAAAAAAGATATCATCACAAATATTATGCAATTTTTTAACGTTTTTAAAACAAATCTATATCTATACATAATAACAGCGTATTATTTAACTCGATAGATATGTATTTATTTTTATTTTTCTAGTCAATTTCATATTTCCTAACGTCTTCGAAAAAAGAAGTCAAATTACGCCGTATTAATCATTACGATGATTTTATAAAGCCTAAAAATGGCTATCCGAGTTTAAGGTTGGATTTAATCGTATAATAATATTGTTCATCATTAAATAATTCATCTCCTGATACATTCTATTATATTTAGAATCATAACCGACGATGATATCAAGAAAGACGAATCTATTGTTCTCGTGACTACAGGGAAAAATCACTTATCGTACAACATTTCTTCATTTGCAAACGAAAATTTTAAACAGGTGGCTTTTGGAAAGTAAGCGTAACCATTATTTACATACATGATGAAATATTGTGTCGATTCGCAACTTAATACATAATTATAGTGCATTTCATAAAACCAATAATTTGATTTTTATATTTTTAGCTATAGTTTAGTACACAGAGGAGGACTGGTTTCGAATATATATCTTATGCCAGCGACGATATATACACTCGTCATACGTAACGACCATGACCACGGCCCGGTAATACAATATTACAAAGCAAACAATAAATTTGGGGGTAAATTAATATCGTAATTGTTTTATTATAGTCAAAGCATTTATAGGAATTGAAATTGTACGCTACAGACGAGGGCAACTACTTGCACATTTTGTGGCAAACACCCCAGTACGTGTGTATGATTATCGCGGATGTGGTTTTTATTGCCACGACCATTGAATTTTCTTTTACTGAAGTAAGTGAACAATTGCGCGCTAATCTACCGTGTATCCATTAATGGGGCGGATGCACTTGCATTGTAAATATTATTAATATGTCGACGATATCTTTGAGATCTGTTGTTATTTTTTTTTTTTTTTTTGCGTACATCAATAATGCACGTGCTTGATATAAAATATCCGTTAAGGCGATTTGAACAAAATTACCTGTTTAACTCGCACAATAAATTATCTGTGTTGTTTAATAACTCGCTTCTATTTACAGGCTCCACCTAGAATAAAATCGTTCATATCGGCATGTTACTCGATGACTCAGTCAATCGGAAATCTAATAGTCGTTATTGTGTCGGCTTTATCAATACGCCAACAAGTGAGAACACTTTTTGCCGCCCTATCGTTGACTCTTTCTTTGTCGATAACATAACATTAATGAACTTATCGTATTCAATTTATATTGTCGTATTGCAGGTACACGAATATCTATTTTACTCCGGTCTAATGTTGGCAAACACGTTTTTATTGATTTATTTGAGTCATAATTACAAGTACAAAGCTTTTAGACAACGACTAAACGACAACGAAGACAACGATAAAAATATCATAGTAAATCAAAATGAAATTCAGCTCGATGGAAAATAATTATCAAATGATTTTTATATATATAAATGCGCTGTCTAATCGCATATAAGGCTTGATATTTTAATCTGATAAAATCCACTCCTCAACAACTTTGTATTTATTTATTCAATAGCCTATCGATAAGGTTTGGAAGTTTAAAGAACATAAACAAATCCGAAAATTAAACATATTTATTTAATACGTATTACATCCGAAATGGCCCGAAAATTTTAATGAACATTATAATAGAAATTAATAAGATTGAAATTACTTTGAGGTTTGGTTTCTTACTAAAACAATTAATCAAAATGCAATATGAACAGAGCCATTCTTTAAATTAGGCTTCTAGTACTGTAGTACCTATCAAAATACTTGTATGCGTATTGGAATTTGACTTCATCAGCTACACGTATTGCTTTCATTTTCACCGTATCGATTGTATGTTATTACTTAATAAGTACCTATCTTGTTCAACGCTGCTCATTAATTTTATGTCTTATGAGTTATGACTTTGTACAGTTAAGTTGTACAGGTAAGTATTCCTACTAACTTACTTCAATTTATATTCTACTGGTCCAAATACTCAATACTAATACAGTAATACTAGTTGATTCATAAAAAATAATATACTTGTCTGTCATGATTAGATTATAGCTAACTATATTATTATGCACTGACTACATTTTGGAAATATATATGTTTTCTATGATTGTAATATTACTGTATTTAGCGAATTATTATAATGAAGTAGTCCATACACACATATTTTTCATTAGTTTATCTCTTAGAATTTCCAACTGTATCTTAACTATCTAACAATAGTTATTTTTTTTTTTTTTTTTACTAATAAAATTTGAAAAGTTAATAGGTATAATTTAATTTTATAATTTTGTAGATCTATTGCTATAAAAATTATAATTTAGATATTAATCATACCAATGTAACTCTTATGTTTAATATGTGCTAGATAATCATATTCTTAGTTAATTTCAAGGAGGTTTATTGAAGTAAGAATACTTATAAAGTATTAATACATATGTAGTTGACTATGACGAAAAATAATACGTAGTTTTTATTTTATTCGTAGTGATTTATTGTCACGGTGTTAGAAACGCTATTTTATTAATATTTTTATTAGTCTACTGCGTATACATTTCAATAGTTTTAATAGTTGCTTAGACTACAAAATACAATTATTATCTTGCATAATATTACATTTTCTTAGGTAAATATTATGAATGATGTGTTTAGATATTTCTTTGAGAAAATAAAACTATTAAAATGAAATTATTATTACAGTAGAAACCATACAGTTGTTTACATTGTCATTATCTAATCACTTGCAAGTTTTTGATGAGAGTTACAACTATTATTTAGGTAACATAAAATATAAAATAAATATATCAAGAAAACTGAATAAAAAGTTCATAGTTTTTAAATATTAAAATAAATAATTTAAATATTATAATATAATCTAACGACTAGCCTCATAGATTTACCATTTAATGAATTTTTTAAATACGATTACTACATTTACATTTAATTTGCTATTAATATATTTAATTTAAATAAATTTAATGATAAGCATTATCTTAAAAACTCCACATTCTATATGTCATTTTCCAAGCATTTGTTTGCATCATGAAGAATAAGGATTTATTAATATATTATTATTCTTCATGGTTTGCATAAGTGTGATATGCAAAATTCATAATGTTCTATATTTTAGATTTTTCTTTCCTTTAATTAAATTACATTTGTGGATATTCTACAATATTCAGTGTTTAAAAATCCGAGCCATATAGTTATAACTTATTATAGTTTTTAACTATTAATTAAAATGAAAACATTTGGCCCTTATACATCAATAGGTACATGAATGTGACCCTCCTATAGTCATTACTAATTTCTTAATTTCATTATATTATGCTTTTTGGAAACTGATTTATTTATCATAGTAATCACGTATATATTCTGATGATATGTTGTTGTCATAATCAGGAAGCTCCTAACGATAATATTTAAGAACCTTTCGTATGCATATTACATTATTTACATATCATATCACTACTATCGTAGAAAATTATTTTTAAAACGTAAACCAATAAATAATTTTGATTTAAAAGTCTCATAGTTTACTATACATTTATTTAACCCAAAATAAATAAAAATAGTATAATAAATTCACAAGCATTAATACATTAATCTTACAAAAACATTATGTTTTTCAGTATTATATATTATGTATTTTAGACGTTGAAAAAATATGTTTCAACAAGTATTTTAATTTTTCTCCAAAAAAAAATTAATGATATAACCTTAATAAACTTGATGAACCAAAATCATTCAAAATCGATTTTATACGCTCCATTAGGTTTTACTCCCTTGTAAATTAAATAAAGAACCGACCTTCTGTCCCGATTAATGAAACCGTCAATATAAGAATCACTCAATTTAATAGATTTAGGTAAATATGTTTTCAATATCCTCCGATCTCCTTGAAGACTGACTAATATACGCAAACCATATGCCGACTGGACTTTGGATAAATCAGTGATTTGATACTTTCTTCCCATGTCTAAAGTCGATATGCTGACGAAGGCCGTGTCTGCGTTATATAGCTTTGCCTGAAGTTTCAATGCCTTCTTTAATTCCTCCATTATTTTTTTGTTCTGTTAATAAACATTAGATGATTAATAGGTACTCAAAAATGTATTCATTAAATAAAAATTAATGACTATATTAACAACGCATTAGTAACAAAAGGCTGATGCCTAACTGCATTCAAAACGACGAGTGTGAAATCATAGTCTATTGTTTTTATATAGAATATTAAACCATTTTTATTATGAGTAAATATTCAACTTATTGTTGATGACTAATAAAATAATAAAATATTTCTGCAAGTGTTTTAAAAAACTATTTTAATTTTTAAACATATATTTATGTTAACCACTCAAAAGACGATACTTTATTACAGTATAAAACAAATCAATATTTGAACATAAGCGAAATTTTGGAAGGATTTGGGTATATTTAGAACACATCATTTTTAAATTTGCAATATAATAATTAATTCATTTTATTTATGATTAATTATAACTTTTTTTAAATTAACACAGGGTTATCTATTATAAAGGAAAGGGGTTAAGTTGCTCATAAAACTAACTGAAAAAAAAATTAAAAGCTTCTACAGTCTTTGAAATTTCACGATTGACTATAGACAACAAATCTAGATTTTTTGTAACCATTAGTATACACAAAAAGGTCACCCTATAAATTAAAGCTATCAGCGATTTCAATAAAAGCCACGTGCCGTGTAATACGTACACATATATTAGTACATATTGACTATATATATTATCAATTATAATACAAACAAGTTTTTGAATTTCTAAGACAAAGCAAATCTGTTGTTTGAGCTTCAATAAACGTGTAAGACAAAGCTTATAAGAAAATAAATTTGAATAATACATCGTTTTATCTTCCTAGTACCTTAGTATTGAAGTATTAAATAAGTACTTCATATACTCATTAATTTAAGCTTTTATTGCATAATGTTATATATTTAACAACAACAGACCCAGTGCTATAATATTATGATGAAATAATAATACTAATAAAATATTTTTGTATAAAAATTGCAAAATATAATCAATTAAAAATATAAAGTTTTTCAAATTATTAGAATGCTTAATTCTTATGCAAAATACTTAGATATATATAATATCGCTCTAAAATTTAAATGCAGTATACGAATTATACTTTAAAAGTGGTAACGTATTAGTTTAATATGAGAAATTGCATCTATTTTTTTCTTGTTCCCTCAGTTTTCGAGATTTTTTTTTAAATATCTGCTGAGAATTATTCTAGAAGCTGTAAGTACAACTTGTGTTTGGTTTCCTGCGTACGCGTAGTGTAGCGTAGAATATTTTTTACTTACTATTTAACCTCTCTAGAGTGAAATGTTTATAAAAATAAAATGAAATATTCACAGTAAACTTAACAGCTCTCTCAAACCACTAACAATATAATATGCGTGGTTGTCTCACGTCACACGTATCAAGAAATACCATCAAACAATAAGTACCTACTTAAAATCTCATATTCTCAATTATATTATATGATAATCATCAATTCTCATAGTTCACCAATCAAGTGTATATCTATTAAAAATAACATATAATTTATAATTTTTAATTTATTGTTTTGACATTTTAATAATCTAATCAAAAACCTTTAGGAAAATGAGAGCTAAAACTGCTATTAAAATCCATATGATAATATTATGCTTAATATTTATTTACCAAAGTTTCACGACTTTGACTTGCATCGGTTTATTATTTAAGTGAGCGGGACATTGCTTCCAAGGCTCACGTACTAGTGATTTAAGGGAGCTTCAGCCAACGTGTCTGCACTTCTCTTAACGCTATAATAACAACTAGTTTTAGACACTTTTTTTCTCATAGATTTATAGTATTTGTGATCTCATATATAAAGCGATTATTGTACAGCAAGTTAACAATATCCAATATAATAATAAATATTTGATTTTAGTATAGCAAAATGTGAATAAAAAGTATTTACTAATAATAATGTTATTTTATTATTATTACCTTGCCCAATAAAACGACGATCTCAATCGGTAACACATTTATAATATAATATTATTAGGTAATTTATTTGACATTTAGGAGAGTATTTAAATTTATTATAGAAAAAGAAAATCAGACAATACCTTTTTGAAATTTTTAAAGAATAAAATATAATATAGCAGTAATTCAAGTAAAGAGGACTTTAATTTGAATGTTTCAACTATTAACTAATATTATGACAAATATAGTACAACAATAAAGTTGTAACCTATCATTATTCCTGTAGTTCCTTCATATTTTTTTTATTGACCACTAAAAAATAAATTTACTTTTGGTATTTTCTAGTCTTAAATAATAATCCATCCCTGACTATTTTTATTATATTATATAATTAAAATATAGATTCCTTTATAACAGTATAACATTGAAAATTATTCTTACCACAATTATTTGTATCCTCGTAGACTGTAGTTGATTGTTAATATGTAGCTAATCGACTGAGAACAAATATTTTAAACAATGCGAGTTATTAGAAACATCAACGCGTCAACAATATGAGTTGGTAGGGACCAAGGTACTTATATGATATTACTACTAAACGTAGGACTGTGAACTGTAATTTTCGTTCTTATACTTCTAAGAAATGTTATTATTTATTAATTCAATAATGACTATCCTTGTAATCGTGTTTTATATTACGATAGTTCTTCTTTTTTTTGTTTAATAATTGCTTAAATATTCGTAACAGTGATTGCGTTACATGTATTTATTAAATGGTGTAGTATATGGATGGTCATTACTCATTTATTTTATTTCGAAGTAATACCAAACTATATTCTGGCCATTTGCTAATATTAAATCTTTTAAAATATTTAAAACTATTACTAAAACATATAAAATACTTTTTAAACAAAATATTTTAAAATAGTATTTCATGCATACCAAATTGTATTTTAAATTCAAATACTTTCGTCTTTGTTTAGATTATCAAATTTTTTTTCTGGTAAGAAATAAAATCATTGACCTTTTTTCATTTTATACTTGGTTTAAATTTCTACCTAAAATTAACTAAAAACACCATAATAGATTATTTAAATTATAATAATTAAAATGAATAATCACTATATTATTCATAATTTAATAAATAATATTTATGTTTTACAGGTATAACATCACCGCGACGGTGCGACTTAGAACCGGAATCAAAAAATAAAATTATAGTTACTAGTTTGTAATAGATCGTAAACAAACTGTTTATATTAGAAGTACAGATTACTGATCATATTTCTAAATAAATACTATTAATATTTAAAAATAATTTGAATTTAGTCACACCTCCTTCCCTCAAAAAAATCCTGGGTGCGCCTCTGATATAAAGTAGTTATAAATCCGGCGTTCTTTTTGAGACACTCTATAGATTGTAACATGTTGGTATTTAAAACAATGAAATATTGTCAATATCGACTATTGCATACGCATACCTTATGATATTGTACTTTTACTACTTTTGTATACGGGTATTACAGTTACTGTATTTGGTTTATAATTTAAAAATTCTTAAAAAAAAATATCTTTTTACAAGACTGCAAGTTCTATAGATATCTATTACATTCTAAGTAAAATTTGTAAGGAAAATTAATAATATTAAAAAAATAAATAAATGCAACGATGAAAGTAAATAAAATATACACATTGATAATTATAATGTCTATACTAATATTAAAACTTGAAGATTTTGTATATTTGTATATACTTACCTCAGATACTACTGAACCGATTTTTATATCGATGGTTTTAATAAGAATTATTATAATTGAATTCTTGAGGCTCATGAGGATAATGCTTTAAGCTTCTTTTTTTAACCCCCATAAAATAGGTCATACATGAATTTCATTTTGGTTTATGAAAATAAATAGTTTTTTGTTTATATATTGGTTATAAAAATTAAATTTTTAAAAAAAAATTGTATTGATTATCCGGCTAGTTATTAGAAATCTGTGGAAAATTTAGAAAATAGTTACTAGTTAGAACCACGTTCGAATATAATATACCAAGTATATTTTTCAACGACACTCGAGTAATTATGATTTCCTATGTCTCGGTATGAATTTTATGTGGTACCTATATTTTATTGAAATAAACAAATTATTTGTTAAACTTATTCAATTCCTATAGATTCTACATTTTACTGCATTTTTCTATACCTAACACTAGTTACCAGTGTTATAAAAATATTAAAATACAGTTAATTAGAATAATAAGATTTAACGTTAAAATAATAATTAGATTACAATATTTTAAAATGCTTTATAAAAGGGCAAAAATAAATGAACGGCATTATTAATAAATGCGATAAATATAATAAATTAAAACAATGATGATCTAAATTATAAGCATGAAATTAAATTATAATAACGATGTTACGAATAGAATTATTTTAACGCAATGATACATTTTGTGTAAACATAACTAATTCTATTAACGATAATAAGTGCCAATTGAAATCAAAATTAAATCCAAACAATTAACTATCAATCCTAAATTCCTAAATGATATTTTATGTAATAGACATTTCACTGCGTTTAAGAACAATACATACCTACTATAAAGTAAATAATAATACCGAAATCATTTTTAAATTACTTACCTATCTATACTTAAATCAGTTAAATCATACTTACTTTAAAAATGGTTTCGCTGTTAGGCTTATACTGTAAGAACTGCTCGAAATTCAGGTCTGCGCAATGCTAAGTTTAATACGATGCACAATCAATAGCTATAGATACTCGTAATAACATATAGTAGCAACTGGGTGAAATTATTGTATAGGTATTGAATGTAGGTAACTACAATTTTGAAGTACAACGGATGGTCGACTTTGAATTGATGATCACTAAAAAAATAAATAACAAAAAGCTACAGCAGGTTCATCGCAAGTTGAAATAATTAAATTGTTTTTTTATTGCGATTTATGTAACACAATGGAGCATAGTGGTTTACATCGCAAACGCCGCAAACATCGAGACTTTTAAACAACAACAACAACAACATATACTTATATTTGTATTAGCCAATAAGTAGCAATGGCGTTTTATCTAAATTGTTTAGGCGATAAGGTCTGCGTGGACGTTATTCGATCCGTAACCAGCGGCATGCCCAAACTTAAACTACAAGCAGTAGGTACCTATTTACTATTTTTCGATGCATGTTGATGTTATAGGCTAATATAAAAGCTATAACGGTCATGAACACGATGGCTCTTCAAACCTAAGAGCCATCAGTCCGATTTATCCGTGATCACCTTTGCAATCAAAATTCAAATGCACAAGTTTGAGATGTATTTATAATATCTAATATATTAGTTGTTCGTGACCATTATCACGAGAAACGAAAAGAGTGCCAGACGGCAGACGCCCGCTTTTTCCGTTATCAAAATGCCTATTATGTCCTTTAACTATCAAATGTATGAATTGTTATAAAAAAAACTGCGGTCTAGTCGACAGTTATTGATCGTTGACGAATGATTCAATAATAATTATTATTATTTTAGTAGTGCCGGATTTTGGGCGTAATCCGTCTTATTATTATCGCAACGGCAACGGACGACAATTCATTTCTGTGAAAGCGACATCGTCCTAACAATATCTAGATATTAATGATTAAAGAAAACGGGCAAATTTACACACATTCAATGCGCAAACTCTGGCTCTCGTCGCTCGTGTAATGTACTGCCGTTGTGACCGCTCAGCTTTTTTTTTTTTATCTAGCTTCGCGCCACCACCGTCGCGCTGGATTAATAATTATTATCATCGTACTTATCTCAGTGATACGTACGAATAATACGTATCACAGAATGTATCCCCTTTTGATGATAATAACGATAGGGGAAGATAACGACGACGCTCGTATCAGCTATTTAGCCTCGCACGTCGCACGCCTACGCGATTTTTTTTATTTTAATTTTCCTCGTGCACAACGTCCCGAGTCCAAACGTCGGCTAATGGCTGGCTACTCCCCAGTCAAAATGAGTGACACATCTCTAGCATAATGTACACAGTCGGTTGTGACGTTGTGCCGAATAAAACACATTATTAGTAACGTTTTGCAATGTAGCCAGTCGAGTGGGCACAAAACAGTTCACTGTGCTAACAATTACGTGTACCTATAATCTATCAAAATTATTGTCCTGTGTGTACCTCCGACCGAAGACGCAGTGCGCGTTGTGAACGATTGTCACTCAATAATGGACATCGATCCAATTATAGTGTCCACGAGCTTAGAAGCTCTAATTGGTGAGTTGAAATTGCATACCGTCTATATCGGTTTGTCGTATAAGTCGATTAGACACTGTGAAATGTGAATGAATAAATACACCTCGTATGTTTTTTATAGATTAGACGTTTGAACTGTGTGATTTAATAACGTTATGTAAATTTGTCTAAGTTAAACAATATCACTTTGGACATTAATACACTGACCATGAGTGATAAAAACATAACATATTACTGTATTACTGTAATAACACTATATTTATATTTTAATTTTATTACAAGATTACTAATTATTCTTCTTACAACAACTGTCGTTATGTATAGCATGTGTCATGTAGAGTGTGTTTGCTCATCAACCAGACATGGTTCCATTATTTCACAGTAGGTTTGCTTAGATACATTTTTCAACGTTTCTACAAAAAAATGGATCTATTTTTTTTTATTTATACTTAAACTTATTTTGCTCATTTCAGGCCATTTTATTTACATTTAATAATATGATATGTGGCTTAATTTAAATAACACATTGTAGGGTTTATAAACCCTTCATGGCGTTATGGTCAAATTGAAATTTATAATATTGGTTCTCAACCTGTTAATATGATATATGAAAAATATGATTTTTTTTCGTTTCATTCATAAATTATATTATTTAATTAAAAAAAAAAACAACTATTTTTTCCTAATTGTTATTTGGGACATATTATTTAAATTAGCCACTATTTACTTAAAATACTTAAATACTTATTTTTATGAGATTTTAATAGTTTTTCTTTGTGTGTGTGTGTACCTTTACTATATTTTTAATTAAATTATATTTAAAAATTAGATATTGTTGTACTTGGTGTACTAAAAAATTAATTTAGTTTTTAATAACATTGTCAGTGCTTATCTAACAAAATTTGTTTTATATTTCATAACATAAAATATTAATTGATACATTCTAAATTTTTGGTTGATGGTCCTTTTTATATGAATTAATCATATCTTTAGTTTTTTAAATTAAAAAATCTACTCTTCATAAAAAAATTTTCTACAATATGAAGTATTTCAAAAGTGCCAAAATAAGTAGGTAGTTGAACAATTTAAGACTTTAAAATATTAAAATTGTTGGGAATATATATCTGTTAGATAAATATTTACTATTAAATCTTTATGCTTATCGACTTATTTAAGTTAAAATTACCATACATATGTAATACATTACCTAAAATTATGTACTGCTATTGAAATTATATTAAATTTGAGTTATATTATTAAAATATATTATTTTTTTGTTAAAATTCTTATTATTATTTGTAAATTAATTTAACATATGAATTGTATCTAATTTTATTTCCCTGTATTATTTTAACATTTTATAAAATAGAACATAATTCTTGCGTGAAATTATTAATTTTGTAATGCATAAACTAACATAATTAATTGGTGACTAAGCATTAGTTACTTGGCTGATATAAATAATATTAAGTGACTATTGTTTTAGAAGTGTCTGGGGATGAACTACATTTATAATAATATGCTGATTACAAATATTATTAATTACAAATGTCAAATTGTCACTTAAGTATTTTATTATAAAAAACTTTATAATTAAAATTATCAAAGGTTACGTATAGTCTTCTAAAATATTTTTTATTTAATTTGTATTATTCTTTAACTGTGTCTTGATAAAAGTAACATTATATTTCTTGACAAAGTTAATAATTTAAGAATTATAATAGTTGAAATGTATAAATCATTGGACACTTAATTCTTTGTGAGATGTTTTAATATTTTTATTTATAAGTAATTTAATATTTATATAATTTTATCTTTTTATAAAAAAATAGTTATGACCTTTTTTTTTTTTTTTTTTTTTAGTTTATATTTGTATAAAATTGCTGTATAAGAAAAATAGTATTTTACTCTATCGAAGAAAACAAACAATTTAAATTAAAAAAGAAGAAAACAGATGTGTAGAAATACTAGAACAATTTGAAATGTATTATTTATTTTCTTACCGAGAAGCCTAATTTATGTTTAAATACAATTTCCAGAAATAACTGAAATAAAAATAAAAACAATACCTAACTCAAACGGTTTGATGCATTTGAAAAACAATCTAAGTAAGAAAGAAGAAATTAATGAATATTACACCTTTAAAGAAGTATAGTTTGAATTAATAAAAATATATTTTTCTTTATTTTGACAATTGATAGTGATACTAATTTTTACTAAAAAAAACTTGAATGAATAATAGTTAACATCATTATTTAATCATCAAATAATATATAAACAGGTTAAACCAATACCTATAATAATTATTATTCAAGAAAAACATTTTTTACCAATTATTGTGAACAATCAAAAAAAAGTCTAATGTGATAATCAAATAATACCATGTTAAATTTAAAAAAAATGTAACAAAACATTAATGTACATTAATTACATTTTTTTCAATTAATTAATTTATATTTATTTTAGAAAGAGCAACTAAAAATAGCAACGAAAAAATTGACAGTGCTGCTATGATTGCTTTTAGTGGATTTGTGCAAAGAGATCCAGAATGTGCGCCTTTAGCTGCAAAGTGTATTTTAGCCAAAATTCATTCAATGCAGGAATGGGAAGCTTTACAGGCCCTTCATGTATATTGAACATTTTTCAATAAAATAAAATCCAAAATTATTTTATAATGAAATGTATTTTAGTTATTAGATATATGTATGCAGACTGGTAGTGCTAGTTTTCAAGCTGAAGTTGGTAAATTCCGCTTTCTTAATGAACTTATACGTTTAGTATCTCCCAACTGCAATGGAATTCACACACCAGAATTAATTAAAAACAAAATAATTGAACTTCTTGGCTTATGGTCAACACAATTCCCCAAAGAAATTAAAATACAAGATGCCTTAGATATGTTAAAAAAACAAGGAGTAGTAAAGGTAAAATCTTATAACTAACTATTAAATATTTAATAAATTTATAATAGTTTATATTTACTATAGGATTTTTTATTTGAAAATATGCCATCAAAAGCAACTACTGCTTCTAAAATGGATTCCAATAAAGTGTCAATTTTGAATGGAGAAAAATCATTATTGCTGCAAAAATTGCTTAAAAGTAAAAAATCAGAAGATCTCAAAGCTGCTAATGAATTAATTAAATCTATGGTTGAAGAAGTATGTTAAAAACCACAATTGTAAAGTTGTGATATTATATTAATGTTATAATATAGGAAGAGCAGAAAGCAGAAAAAATTAGCAATATGCTGGCTGATATTGAAATAACCTCGAATAATGTTAAATTATTATCAGAAATGCTCAAATCATATTGTGATGGTTCTAGTTCGTCAAATGATTTAGAACTTATTAAAGAGTTATATGATACTGTAAAACAATTGGAACCAAAAGTTAAAACAATGTTATCACTAGAAATTCCAGAAAATGAAGATACTGTTAGTAAGTATTTTAGTTGTGATTTTGTTTGGTTAATATTTAGTTGCCATACATTATCAAGAACTTAAATTTTAAAGTATTAATATTTGTATACCAGCATTCAAGATAAAAAAAATAAAAAATAAATATTCAATCATTAGCTATTAAGTTACTATGTTTGTACTAACTACCAAGGTATAAAATTCATAAACATTTTATCACAAATGTTTTTTTATTGCCTAAAAATCCTATAGCAAGTTAATGATTATTTGTATTTCTATGTTTATAACAATATTTTTCTATTAAAAACTTATATTTAATAATTTATTTATAAAAATAATACAAAACCATCATACATTTATTTCTTACTAAAATTAAATATTTTCTTAGAAAAATACAATATTATATTATAAATGTGCTATAACATTCTAAAAAAAAAATTGTTATTTTTATAGGAAAAATAATCAAACTTAATTATGAAGTAAATGAAACATTAAAAACATATAATGAAGTCTTAGAAAATTTCAATAACAAAAAACCAACTGATCAAGAAAATGAGGAAAATTTGTTAGACCTCAATATGTCATCTATTTCACCTGGTAAAACATATGTGCATATTACAAACTTGAGATTTATATTTATATTTTCCTAGTTTTATCATTCATTTATACTAACTGTTTTATTTGTATTCAAATAATTTAGTGTTGCATATGAAAATGTTTTCATTTTACTGCTAAACTACTTGATTTAAACCAATAGTGGAATATAAAATGTTATTAATGTGTAACTTGTTACTTCTATTTATAATTATAGGAAAAAAAGACTTTTTTAGTGAATCTAATTTTAAAAGAAATAATGGATCAGCAAATGTTAAGGAACTAGATGATTTTTTACAAATGTCACATCCTTTAAAAGGACTTATTCCTTCAATGCCTGGTAAGTATAAATAATAATTAATCTATATTTAATTATAATTAATACAGTTGTAACACCCATTTTTTAGAAGTTGTAAATTCTCAAAAATGTGTAGGAATTAAGGAAAATATATTAAATGTAGACTTATTTGAAGAATTAAATATTCTTGGTAAAAATATTTTGAATAAACCTCGTGAAACTAAAAATGTTGAAAAGTAAGTTATTATCTTATAATTTTTAGTATATGTTTATTTATATGAATCATTAATATATATTATTTTACAGATCATTTAATTTGACAGACACAGAATTTAATTCAGATATTATAAAAAAAAATGGTATATCAGAGGAACCATTGTTTGGCACACAAGATTCAATTATATTTGAACAACCAAAAAGCTATAGTCTTCAGATACAGCCTCTTGGTGATATTAATATTAAAATTGAAGACATTATTCCATGTGTGTGCAAAAATGTTATTCATTTACATTTTAAAATTAAATATTATATCAATATCAAGTTATTAAAAAATTTAAACTTATTAATATTTTATAATTTTGTATTATTATTTATTTATAAAGTATATACATATTTTGAATACCTTTATTAATCTTAATGTAATTATTAAAGTTTATTTTAAAATTATTCAAGGTCCAAATTTCAATGTTGTGAGCTTGTTTGATAAGAATGATATAAGTACAGATCTACATTTAGCAGCAAATAAACCAAGAGAAGATGTTACAGTTTTTGTTATTACAACTCGAAGCAAATGTAAACTTCCGTTATTTCATTTTTCATTCCAACCAGTTGTTCCAAAAGTAAAATATCAAATCTGTAGTCAACTTCTTATTAATTAATAAATATTACTATTGGTTTTAGGATTGTAGGTTACGTATATTACCACAATCAAGAACCAATCTTCCTGTTTATAATGCATTTTTACCACAAGAAACTATTGTACAAATCATACTAGTTGCAACTCTAAATAAGGTTTGTAATTTGTAGAAATTATAATTTTTTGAAATATTTATATTAATTTAATTACTTTATAGGAATTTATACCTTTAAAATATGTCATAAGTTATACAATGGATGGTGAAATGTTCACTGAATTTGGTGAGACTGAACAGCTATGCATAAACTAAGGTTATAATAATTATGAATGTTATGATCTCGAAAAAACTTATTTCAAAAAATGTATGAGTACATATTTTAATTTAATTTATATTATCAAACAGTTTATTTTATTAATATTATTAAGTCAATTTAATGTTAAACAGTTATTAGACTTATTATTATTATTCAATAACTTTTCAAATTAATATTATTAAGGGAATATGTAATGCTTTATTTTTAATTAATAAACTAGTCATTAAAAAATGTATTAAATTGTTGAATTTGTCAGTATTTATGTCAACATTTTAATGAATATGTCATTTTCTCTTTCATATTTAATATTACCATCAAAATCTAGTCACCTAATATATGATCTTATAATAGTATAAGTAAAATTTTAAAATATATTTGTATGATCTATTGAACTAAATATTATTTTTTTAATTAAAATTAAATGTTATAAATTATTATTATATTTTTGATTTGTATTAAATTAACTAATAATCAGTGTAAAATAATTGAACTGAGGCTATCTTATTTTGATTATTAAAAATACATATAAAATCAATTATAATTTTAACAGTGGTTTTATTTTATTTTTAAATATAATGAAAATATTCATCAAATCGAACAAATATCATAATGACAACATTATTAAGTCTCATATGAACTACTTCATTATTCAACTATAATAACATTATATCCAATAAAAAGATAAACATTATAATTTATAAACAATATTTATTTCGTCTAAAATAAATTATAATTGAAAAATAAGTACAAAGATCTCATAGTTAACTTGTACTTAACAAGGTGTGGCAATTAAATAACGAGAATTTTTAATTTTATAACATTTATTTAATATTTACAATGATTTATGCACCCATGCCTTCACAGTACTCTCCTCCGAGTCTAACACACTTGGTCCAGCATTCTTCCCATTTCTGGAAGCACTCCTGGAAGTCTCCAGAAGTTAAACTCTTCAACACCGTTGTTACGGCACATTGAATGTCCTCCAAATCCTTATAGCAATGTCCTTTCATTGGTTCTTTTAACTTTGGAAATAGCCAGAAGTCCAGTGGAGCCAGATCAGGGCTGTACGGGGGGTGGGAGAGCGTTGTTATGTTCCTACTGGTCAAAAACTGTTGAACTTTTAATGATGAGTGTGCAGGCGCATTGTCATGGTGAAGGACCCAACTATATTTTGGCTAATTCCGGTCTCACACGATACATTCTATGACACATTCGCTTAAGAACTTCAATATAAAATTTTTCTTTTTGCACCAACACACTTAAACATTCGACATTTTGCTTAGTGTGCACGATTTTAGGGGCACCCGACCTTGCATCGTCTTGCGTTGATTTTAGACCTGATGCGAAACGTGATGCCCATTCGTAGTATTCGTACACACGTGGTTTTGATAAGCAGTCATTACCGAACACACGCTGCAATTAACGAAAAATTTCGACAGTTTTTTCACCAGAAACTTGATGACAATTCGTTGCTCGTTTTTGTACGTCATGACACTACACACTAACTTTAAAAAATCGGAGAGCTCAAAATATAGCACCGATCACTATAAAACTTGGCAGACTTATGTATTACCTCGTGAACTTTAAATCAACAAATTTTCAAGGTATTAGTGTTACCACTATAGAAGCTAGAAACAAATTCTCGTTATTTAATTACCACACCTCGTAATTAATTTTGTCGTGTTTTAAAAAAAAGAAAAGTTTCTTAATTTATTATATTCTATTAGTATTATCTTAAAAACATAATATGTGTTTGTACATGTCTGTGGACAAGTACCTACCAACCTACAGCCTACTTAATTAATCAACGAAAAAAAATAACAGAGTATAAAAACTATGACAATAGAAACAATCAATTTCAACGCGATTAGGAACGTTTTATCGCTTTTATAACAAAGTTGCGATTTGAAAATTTTTTCATCATTGTGTCAATTTTTATACTGTGTATTATGAATTTATGAGATGTTTACGTTTTTGTCAAAGATAATAAAATACTTTCTTTTACATATTTTAAATACTTTTCCAGTTCTATCCGACGATACAGTAATAAACGCTATTATTTTATTTCTATCGAAAATTTAAAATTGCCGCGGAAATGTGCCCCACCCGTCAAACCAAAACTGTAAACAGGCATCAGTTACCGTGACCAAAGTACGTGTACTGTGGCGCGACGCGGCGTCATTACTACAGTACCGTTGCTAACATCAACTAATCGTCAGACAGTGTCCCCTGGCATGTCTGTTCCGCCGTCCGCAACCAAATTCATAACTTCATAAGGCGTCCTGAACACGTTGTTTCGGCGCGTTACCTGTGTCATTTTGACGCGGTTTTTTCTTGTTCATTGTTGCTCTCCTACACGACGTTAAAAATTGTTTCGAATATGTCCCAAGAACACGTATAGTGTTAATCACAGACGAGCAGCCAACGGACAGAAGTCCGCCCGAAATTCTACTACTGTGATCTTGCCGCACTCCACGACTACGACAATGGTGAGTTGAACCACTCTGAACAAAATAATTATTTAATTACAATCTTTTTCGTTTCGCCCCGCAACTTACGCACACAATCATTCGGTGATTATGCACCTCATCGTTGATCCGTGAAACAACGTTTTCTTTTTTGTTGGCCAAGACGGAGTTAGTCGCCCGACGCGTGCTTAGCGCACTTTTATGAAATCCGTAGGTCCGCGTTTTTTAGATTCTTCTCCATGTCAGAAAACGCGTGAGCTCTCGTACTATTAATTGCAATAGTGTGTGTGTGTGAGTGAATGTTTGTGCGCGCACGTTGCTAGGCTGACGGTCAAATCTTAGCGGGACACGTTATTTTATCTCCGCTGCGACTGTTGCATAATCACCGGTCCCGTCACCACTTATCGTTTCGCGTTAATAGACGATTAAATATCCGTTACACACGCACATTATAATATATATTTATACATACGTAGTTAAGTCCGTGGCCTGTGCCGAACTAATACTATTTGTTTTGTTACGCAATCTTGTCCTGCCGTTTCCTTCCATCTTCAGACAAATTGATAATGGCGGACGATTTTGACATTGAAGCGTTGCTTGAAGCGCCCTATAACAAAAAAGAGCCAGAAACGCAGCCAAAAGAAAGTAACGGCACTGAGGAAAAATCACGTAAAGACAAAGACAAATCCCGTAAAAGTCGCCATCGTAGTAGATCTAGATCGCGCGATAAGTCTCGCAAACATAGTCGATCCAAAGATCGCAAACATCGACGAAAAAGTCGTTCTAAGGATAGACATCGTAGTCGTTCCAGAGACCGACATTCGCGCCGACGCACATCTAAAGACAAACGCAGTCGTTCACGGTCTCCTGTCAAACTACCTAAATATGGACCACCATTACCTCCTCCGCGGTATAGTAGAAAACAATCCCCTCTTGCATCTAAAGTACCACCAGCTAGTATGTTAACTCCTGAAGAAAGAGATGCTAGGACTGTGTTTTGTATGCAACTTTCAAAAACAATTCGAGCTAGAGATTTAGAAGAATTTTTTTCATCTGTTGGTAAAGTTAGAGATGTTAGAATGATCACTTGTAATAAAACTCGTCGGTTTAAGGGTATTGCTTACATAGAATTTAAAGATCCTGAATCAGTTCCACTTGCTATGGGTCTAAATGGCCAAAAGCTTTTAGGTGTTCCTATTGTTGTTCAGCCCACTCAGGCAGAAAAGAATCGTATGGCTAATTCAATGCCAAATATGGTACAACGTACACATTATGGACCAATGAAATTATATGTTGGTTCATTACACTACAACATCACTGAAGAAATGTTAAGAGGAATATTTGAACCTTTTGGACATGTTGATAATATACAATTAATGATGGACACAGAAACAGGCCGATCCAAAGGCTATGGATTTTTAACCTATCGCAATGCGGAAGATGCTAAAAAAGCACTTGAACATTTGAATGGATTTGAAATAGCTGGTCGACCTATGAAGGTGGGTCATGTGACTGAAAATCATTCTATGTATGACAAAACTGCTTTTGAAGTTGACGAATTAGATAGAGCAGGTTATGATTTGGGAGCTACAGGGAGACTGCAATTGATGTACAAATTAGCAGAAGGTACTGGATTTCCAATTCCTCAGGCTGCAGCCAATGCACTTCAAGTTGCCACTGGAGTGACACCAGCAGCTCCAGCTACACCAGCCGTTCAGGTGACTCCTCCAATCGCAACCCAGTGCTTTTTATTAGCCAACATGTTTGATCCAAACAAAGAAGACGTTGACAGTAATACTACTTGGGAAACTGAAATTAGAGATGATGTTATTGAAGAATGTAACAAACACGGTGGTGTTTTGCATGTGTATGTGGATAAAGCATCTCCACAGGGCAATGTATATGTCAAATGTACAACAATTGAAACTGCGCTTGCATCTGTAGCAGCTTTACATGGGCGATGGTTTGGTGGACGTGTAATCACTGCAGCATATGTGCCTGTAACAAATTATCATAATTTGTTTCCTGAAGCTTCTTCACTCACAAAGTTGTTGGTATCATCTAGAAGTAAAAATTAATAAGTTAAATGTATACAATTTATTAATTTTATTTTTTTAAACTTTTGATTGACAAATAATGATATGACATGTTTACATAATTCTATATAGAGTAAAAAACTATACCTACTTAATCATATTTTTTAGTTAACCTTTTTTGTTAGGTAATTAATTAATATGTTTAATATATGGTTATATTATAAAAATTGTGATCGAATTAAGTTGTAGAAGTTAACATCTTCTATTTTACTTTTACGTAAATCATTTTCCCATGTGAACTGATGTGAATAGTTTTAGGACATAACTATATGTTTGGAGTAATTTTTTGAAATATAAATACTTAGTTAGGCTACTGTTTGAATTTTTATTATTTTTTTCATCTGTTGGTCTTTATTAGAATATAATTCCTTTTTTTTTTTTTTTTTTTTTTTGGCATTATGTTTAAAAAAAAGAATTGGTGTAATAATAAATATCAAATAGTAATTTATTCGTTCATAATGTATTATTGTACAACTTGGTTACAGACTAGTTATTATTGTTTTCTATTCGTCCTGGTATATTGTTTATTTTTTCTGATTCATTAAAAGTTAAAACATCTTTAAACCTGATAAAAATAAAATACATAATATGTATATATATTTTAGATAAACCTTTTAGAAAAAACTCTTGCTATCATGAAATAGAATATGACTGGTTCTTAATAATTGTACATCTATATTTATTTTATATCATAACTATTATTTCATATTTATTCAAGTGAATAATAAGAACTTGACATTCAATGAAAACAAAATTAATATTTATCGATTTTATTAGATAACAACAGTTATCCAGTAGGTATAATAGTTAGCAATATTTTAAATTGTATGTTTGCTCTTTCTAGTTAAAAAAAAATAAAAATTGATTAATTATTTAACATATGTAAATAAATTACTTATCTTATCCGTATACTTGATGGTTAAATATAATATTAGCTTATCTATGTATAATGTACTATGTAGTATTAGTAAAACAATAATTAAATATCTATTTAACTTTTGAATAGATCTAAAACAATGTAATAATTACTATTTGCTAAATTAATTTGCAATGGTTACCATTAAGTTATCTAAAACACCTGAAAGTTGTATTAGTTACAAAATAATCTTTTTTATAAACAAAAGCATGTATTAATGATAAATTACCACTTTTTTTTTTTTTTAATTGGCTATTTTTATGTCTAATTTTAATTCAATATATTTATAGATATATATACATATATTTTTTTTTTTTTTTTGTAATTTTTCAATAAAACATTTATATAATGTATAACAATTAAGCTCTCATTTTTTCTTCACTATTACACTGTATGAAATTTAATTGGAAAACAATTCTATATTGGTTTAAATGTATATAATTTTTAATTCTGTTTTTTTTTTTTAAATTTATATATATCCGGTGTACATATAATCCATCTAATGCACAGACAGAATTTAAAAAAGTGCGTTTAAATCTGAGTTATTACATGTGTTTTGTTTTGTATAATTTGATTTTATCAATTAAAATATATAGTAGGTATTATTATATGCTTGAAGGTATTCGTAAACAAGCTGAAAAGTTTAAGATCAATCACTTATTTTAGTTTTTAGATTTTAATACTCTTATTATTTATTTCAAACACTGTGAATGGGAAATTATACTTGTACTGTTAATTAAAACATAACTTTAAATATTTTCTTATATAAAATTATTTTTGAATAGTATATATTACTAAATATTTTATTAATAATACCCTACCTTTTAGATAAGATATAAAAATCTGTATTTAATCTTATTGAATTTGTATATTTAATAGTAATTAATCTAAGTATAAGTTTATTTTTCTGTTTATGAAATAAATAATATGAATGTTAATATTATCATTATTTTCATACTGGATTACATTAATGTGTAGTGTTCTAATATAGTAAGATTAATAGATATTAATTTATGTTTTTATATTTTAAGTATACTTTTTAAAGAATGTATTTGTTTATAAAAATATAAAAATGTAATGAATAAAATGTCTGAAGGTCGTTGAAATTTTTATTACTTAAAAAATTGAAATAAAATTTTAATTGAATTATCTGCTTACCTATTTGTTTTAACTAATTTATTATATTTATAATAGAATGGTTAAATATTACCTGAATTGTATTTTTTTTGAAAGTTTCCGTGCCAGGTTAAAAATATTGTTGAAAATTTTAATTGAACTTGACAGAAATTTACTGTTTAAAATAATTCAATTTTATGGATGTATTTTGAGCGCCTAATTGTTCGGCTTAAGCTTAAATACTAGTTATAGTAGAATTTTACGTTCTAAATATCTTCATTTCCGCAGGCAAAACTAACAGTCCTTTACGAACATGCCACCGGCTTCACACTGTTTAAAGTTAAAGAATTTGAAGAAATAGGTTCAGAATTATCAGAAGTTGAAAAATCTGTTCGCGACTTGCAGCGTTTCACCAAAATCATTGAGCTATTGGCATTTGCTCCTTTCAAAACGTCAGTTGACGCATTGGAATCCATCAACAGCATTTCTGAAGGTACAAAACAATAAAATCTGACGTCCGTCTGCCGTGTCCTGGTTTCATCAAGTTATTTATTATCACGTTCATAGGTGTATTGCCCGAGAGTCTACAAATATTTTTAGAAACCAATGTACCTAAAGTGGGTAAAATGTCAAAAGTCACTTTGGGAGTTGCTGATGGAAAATTGGGTGCGAGCATTAATGAAAAGCTCGGGCTCAAGATACAACATACTGGATTTGTGCTCGAGATATTAAGAGGTCTGTTTTGTTTCATTTTGCTTTGATATAACAATTAAAAAAAAAATTTTATTTGTATCATGCTTTTAAATTCAAATTTAATAATTTTCTACAAATTTTAAATGGTCAATAATTCTTAAAGTTCTATAAAATAATAAATTCATTAAATCATAAAATATGTTTCAGGTAAGTAATATTAATTAATTACTTAATTAATAATTCATTAAGTGTGGATGTCTAATAATTTATTTAAATGTTACTAATTCTTAGTTTATGTTTTGAAATTATATAGGTATTAGATATCACTTCCCATCTCTCATGAAAGGCTTTGCTCCAAAGTTAGAAGGAATTGCTCAATTGGGTTTAGGTCATAGTTATTCTAGAGCTAAAGTAAAGTTCAATGTTAATAAAGTAGATAATATGATCATTCATAGTGTTTCATTGCTTGATCAATTAGATAAAGACTTAAACACTTATTCGATGCGTATCAGGTAATATACATATTGGAATAATGATTACCATAATTTTGAAACTTGATTTGTTTTATTTCAAAGAGAATGGTATTCCTACCATTTCCCAGAACTTTACAAGATTGTACCTGAGAACTATTTATACGCTAAAGTAGTAAAGTATATTGGTGATCGAAAACAGCTTACTGAAGAAAAAATGGAAGGTCTTGAAGAGATCATAATGGATGCAGGGAAAGCAGCAGCAATCTTAAGTGCTGCCAAATCATCAATGGGTAATAATTAAGTTAAATATGACTGATATTCTATAGTTAAAATATTCCTTTTATCAGGCATGGATATTTCTCCGGTTGATCTTGCAAATGTATTAATGTTCACCAACCGTGTTGTATCGTTGTCCGAATACAGAAGAAGTCTATCAGAATATTTAAAAAACAAAATGGGGACTGTTGCGCCTAACATGGCTGCTCTAATCGGTGAACAAGTAGGAGCTAGACTTATTTCCAAAGCTGGTTCACTGACAAATTTAGCCAAGTGTCCTGCATCTACCGTTCAAATTTTGGGTGCAGAAAAAGCACTTTTTAGGTAACTCTATATTAAACCTAATAGCGCGTTGTTAATTCATTTTGTTAATTTATTCTTTAAGAGCAATGAAAACCAAAACAAGCACTCCAAAATATGGTCTCATATATCATTCAACATTCATTGGCCGAGCTGGCAGACAATTTAAAGGACGTGCCTCTCGTTTTCTTTCAAATAAATTAAGCATTGCTAGCCGAATTGATGCCTTTTCTGGTATTATTAGAATTCTTGTCTCCATTAGATTTTTTTTTCTAAAACTATTTCTTAATGTTTCATTTTGTAGATAATCCATGCAATATTTTTGGTCAGAAAATGAAACAACAGTGTGAGGATAGACTTAAATATTTTGAGACTGGTGAAAAGCCTCCCAAGAACGTTGATGTTATGCATGATGCTCTCCAAGAATCCCTTGTTTTGCAACAACAGGTATTTTGTGTATTTCAAACTTAAAATCTTGTGGATCATTCATGATTGTTATCATTTTCAGAACGAAAGCCTTAACACAAGTGTCAAACGTAAGAAGAGCAAGAAAGAAAAAAAATCCAAAAAAAACAAAGTTGAAGAAAAAGAAAATGGAGAATAATTATTTTGTATTTTTAACAACAGTTTTTTACACATTAATAAAAATTAATTTGACTATTATTTTAATTTCAACTTTTAATAAATTATCCTCTACACAGATCTTTTTCTATTTCCTCACACATAAATGAAATGTCTTACATCAACTCTGTCATCAAATGTGTTATGACTAGGGCCTGGATTTATATGCATTTGCGTGTTTTTTCTGAACAGCCCAGAAAACTTGCAAGTTTGATATTATGTAGTCATTAGATCTGAAATGTATAGTTATGTTTTGCATATTTTTGCATTTATACAGTTTTTAAATGCATAATATGTAATATTTTATTTATTTTAATTAAAATACGCATTAATAGTCCATGCAATTTGTTGAAATTGTTTTTTTGTATCTGATACCTATTGGGATAAATAGTAATCTGTTATTGAATAGGTTTTAGTGAATCATACATTAGTTGTATTTGTTGTGATCTGAGTGCGTGTAACTTTCATTCGATTTTATTTATTTATATTAAATTTAAATGAAAATAAAAACTTAATTGATTTTTTTATTTTATAGGGTATATTTCAATAAAATAAGAACATAAATGCTTATTTCCGAGGTTTTTAGAATATAAAAATTTGGGCCCTACTTATGATATCAAAACATTGGTTTTATTTATAAAATATACCCAAAAAGGTAATGTATTACTAAAAAATTTTATAACAGAACAATATTATGTCAGCCTGCATACTGATTAAAATTTATTATTCAATAATATACAAATATAAGATAATATTTAATTAGTAGCTCATACATATCTTCAATATTACATGGACTGAGATAGAAATTAAATGGTTGAATTTTACATATTTGGTAGCATTATGGTGAGAAATTTTTAAAATTATGTTATTACAAAATATTAACTTACCATTTAGTTGGATTTCATCAAAAGTAACTGGCTTCAAAAATTAGTACTTTAAAATCGATTTATTCTAATACGTTTGAACAGCCAATTTTGTTTTTAAATAATTTATGATTGAATGATACTTGAAACCATGAACTATGCTTGAAACTTAATAGTGACATCCGTCATCTTCAACTGGTTTATCTTACATAAACTATTTTATTTGTAATCACGTGAAGGAAACGTCTGAATATTTTCTAGTTCCTTTATATTAAGTTCAAATAGAGGCTTCAAGTCCAATTAAAGATCTTACTAAGGATACATTATATAATGAATAATAAAGATTTTAGGAATAGTACAATGTTAATAAATGTAATTATTTAATTACTGCATTTTCCAAGTGACAATACTGTTAAATAATATTATATACAGAACTCTGGAATATCAATTAACTGAATTATTGAAGTCTGAATATTAAAATGTATATGAATTACTTGGTGTACTAGTGAAAAACTTAATTTACTGTCGTGGTTAATATAACATTATACTGAATATAGCCAGATCAGAAACATAATAGAATACCTAATACCTATAGACAAAGAAATGTATTTTAACTTTTTCAGAAAATATTTTATAAAAAGACATTTTGATAGAATAAACAAGAGTTAGAAGTTATATGGTCACTTATTTTTAAAATAATATTTGGGACTAAAGAAGAATATTCTTATATTCGTTTTGGTTTCGCTCTGCCGGGTTATGTAGTGCAGCTGTTGAATGTGTTTTTCCGTCATGAACAGCACATGGAGTAAAGTCATGAAACAAACTAAACTTGAAAACTGTTAAAATGTCACTCATAATTAAAATTTAAAACTAGTTTTGGAAATAAATCTTGTGAGTAATTTTGAAGATTTTGTGGAAAACAACAAATTGTCGAAAAAAGTTATAAACTCGTTCAAATATTCAAAGATACTGAAAGTTTCTAACTAATTTTATATTTATGTACCTATAGTACTTTTATATTTATATTAATTATCAAAAAAATATAGGTACCTAGTTATAAATTTATAATCAGTATTATTCACTACAGCTAGATTATACTTCATACTACAAGACTATACCTAATCATCACTAGTTATTAATTAACTTTATACATTTAAAATTTACATTTTTTTTTTAAATTTAATGTGAATCTTATGGTATATTTTTGGTTTGATGTATTTTATCAGACCTATGAAACTATGTTTTTAGACTCAAATCGAACGACTGTGACCTTAAGAGTAACATTAGAAAATAATATTAATTTTTTATAATATTACGTAATATTATATGGAAAATTAAATTCATAGTAAAATAAACAATTACCTACCTATTCATTTTATTATGATTTAATATTTATGTATCAAAATATGAAATGGAATTATTTGTCAGTACTTAATAGGTATTTAAAAAAATAAACAGTGAATAAGAAAATAAATGAAAACGGTATTTACTATTTTAGTCGTCAATAAATTGTTTCCCTTAACGTAACAAAGAAGAATACACATAAATCAAATTACGGATACGGTTTTAACTTTTGAGTCCAATATTCAGTGGTGTAACTAAAAGAGATCAGAAGGTGCGGATGCATAAGTAATACAATGTTTTTCTTTAATAATTTATAATTAACTATAAAACTATTAATATTTTTAATAATCTAAATCATAGAATTTTAAATTAATATATAAAACATGCAAATATACAATAATATTTTTAGAAAATATATAAAATAATTCCATTAAAATTAATGCACCCCCCCCCTTCAGACCTCACTATGTAAATATGTAATGCCTGGATAAGAAGAAGCTATTGAAAATTTCGTTGCTAGGTCCAAATTTTGAAGTTACATCATTACCAAATGCCAATACTTGATAGATACCTTACAACCTACAGGATACAGTTTTTATTACAGTTGTAAAGAATAGTAAATCGATCAGCTGATAGAGTGCCGCTTCTATATTATTTTGTGATTCTGATGAGGTAGTTTTGATGATTTAATCTAGATCGAAGTTTGAAAGTGTTGGTCAAAATTTTTTTTTTTCAATTTTTATAACTATTTACTATATAACTATTTTTAATTATTTTGTAGTCGTTGCACGTTAAAAGCATGATCAGTCGCACATTCAAAACAATTTCCTCCACCGCGTCGCTCGTCATAATACCTATATGGTGGACGGGTGTTTGGAAAACCGCGAACAAAAGCTGACTGCGCGTAAGGGGGTAAAAACGGAAAATTGGCCGCCACCCAGTCATATTCTTTACATAATATGACGAGTAAAGTGATTATTATTAGAAATATTTTGCAACCACACATTGAGTTTTTGAAACTTGAAACCATTTTAAAAATTAGAAGTACCTACCTACCTATTCAATGAACACGATTTTTCAAATAAGATGCATAGCCGCATAGGTAAAGAAAATTGACATTTAAATTCTAATTTAAATTAAATAAATAACAATAAACAATACATTTTATCTAAAAAATAAAAAATATTTTTATAGGTATCCAATAAAATTGAGTAAAAAATATGACTTTGCGAATTGATCATCACATACTCACGTTTAACGAGGTAGTAGCAATAGCCAATAGAAGACATGATTTAAAGGGTAATAACTATAAAGAAAAAATATAAGGGATATGAGCTTAATCCTTTCCCCCCAACAAAAAAAATGATTATTTGTAGTGCCTATGAACCTTGTGTAACCGTGTAAGTTCAAACGTACTTACGTACATACACCATACTGCAGGGACGAGCCTGTAAAATGTTTTGTTGAGAGACGCGTCAGCACTGGGAATTATTGATTTTTTCGTGACAATAATGTATTAAATATTTTCCGTCTATTAAAAGTATATAATAATGATACGTATAACAGACAACAGTATATTATCGGTACGTAGTACGTACGTAAACTATAATAACATCGCAAATAATATTCGTATCGCCTCTTTCAGAGCAGATCTATTGATTCAGATTATCGTTGTTTTCTTGATGTCAGGTTTCCGGTACCTACACCACCTAAATTGATATCCACCTCAGTTTTTCATCATCATATACCAGCAGGGCACTTAATTACCTCGCCTACTGGACTTACGACGCATCAGGTTAACTCAAAATAAATTAATTGTAAAAACACCGTTTCGATCTGCAGTAGGTACTAGGTAGGTACACATAAAATAATGATTAGTAATGCGGAACGGTGATCGTTTGGACAAGTGTAATTTTGATCAAAATAATACCTAGTCGTTTGGAGGACTTTTATTTTTTATATTTTATAACTCAGTGAAATTATTTTTGATTTTTTAAATTTTTGACCTTATATCTTTTTTAATATCACTATAAAAATACCTTTTTAAAGTTAAAGTTCATAATATTTATTATTAATTGTTATCAATTAGGTATATGGTACAGGTATTGTAAGTGATTTTATTTTTCCAATTGAAGATGTATTATATTACTACACAATACATATATTAATTTACCTGTCTAAATACATATACCTTTTCATATTTATTCAACCGATCAGTATTTTTGATAGAATAAACACTCGCGCAAGCGGTTTAGGTATAATTATTCGCTCAAATGTTCTATGCTCAATAATGTATTGTTATTGTTTAGTAGACTAGTGGAGAAAAAAGTTTAGGTTCAACAAACTTTGAGTGTTTACCTATTACCTAGCTCGGTATGGAGACGGTGGATGTGGCATCCGAGTCTTCTGAGGCCGCTGCTCACCGGCCACCGATCGTCAGTCTGGACTTCAATGAAGCGATGGCCGACTTTAAGACGATGTTCCCGACGCTCGATGACGAAGTGATTGAGGCTGTGTTGCGGTGCAACAAGGGAAGCGTGGACCGTACTGTCGATCAACTGTTGACGATGAGTTGCGAGTGTCGTGTGGCTGACATGCTTAACGGGCCGGGCAGCAACGACCTTAGTACTCTGTCTTTACAACCTGCCTTATTCAACTCGATGTAAGAAGATTATTGATTCATTATATTGATGTAATCGCCGCTTAAATCGATTCGACGTAAGGCCTGACTTTAGAAAATGGAAACCTGCAGGTACTCTATTCACTGTGGGGCTGTTTTTAATTAAAGAGATAGGTAAACATTTTAAAAAAACAAGCAACATTTAAAAAAATATATTTAAGGTACCTAAACCTAGATTATTACCTGAAATTACATATTAAATCCGCAAATTTCGACAATTTTTTTAAAAATAAATAAATTATTTTTTTAGTTTGAAAAATTTAAAAATAGTATTTTGAATACTATCAATAGTTCAAATGTTAATTTTTTTTGTAATATCAAAATTTGAACGACTGCAATAATGACAAGAAGTCTTGCAGTCTGTTTTATAATGAGAATACATGTTTTTATGTGTTCTAGTACAGAAAATGAACATTCACTAGCTCATAGGTGTAAATGGAATAATTGAAATGTAATAGTATAGGAACTAGGGAGTTCAGTTCTGTAAAATAAAATATCATCATCGATAAATTTTATAAAATATTTATATCTTTCTACATTAATAAATTAATCATAGACAAGTCAATGAATCTATTTTAGATCAAAATCGACCTGATATACTTTCATCAGTATGTTTTGATTCTCCTTTAATAATAAATCGTGCAAAGTATATCAATAGTACCTACTTATTAATATATTATGTAGGAATACATGATAATTATACACGAATACATGTATATTTATTAAATATTTTACACATTTATATTACTAAAAATAGCATTTTTTATGTAATGATTTGGGTTTTAATCTGCAGGAGTTAAAAAGTAAAAACGCACGTATGTGAGTGGCCGGTAATTTACACCTATACTCCCATAGTTATCTGATACGAATGATACGATCACTACTAGGTACAAATAAAAAATAAAATAATACTAATATTAATAATGATCATAGGTAACATTAAAAAGATTTTAATTTTTGTGTATAGTATAGGTATTATAGAGAGTACCTTATGGACCTTGTGCTCATGCATGACATGCACAGTCGTAAATCAGTGCCTGGTTCGACAATTGATGCGGGCCGACGCGATTTTCTCTCTTTCTCTACGTGTCTCCGGTTTTCAGGTTACCCGACGTGTTACACAACCTCGGCAAAAAAACTGACCAAAATATCGACGGCTCTTCATTAAGCCGTTGGAACCCGCCAATGCTCGGGCCCTTGCCCACCGACTTTCTCAGGATCACGACCGTTGGCAGTTGCACATCACAAGTAAACGTATATTTCTTTGCAATCGACTTCTGTAATGACCATAAATCAGTTCCACTGACACCCGTGGCGTTTTTAAGATTTTATCTTGGGCGGAGGAGGGGGATATGTATATCTATTATCTTTATTCATGTAGAGTTCGTCGGACACAGGTATGGATTTAGGGGAAGGAAATAACTAGAATCGTCCCCACGTGGTATCCTCTGAATTACACTAAATGGTTCTAATATTTTTTGTAAAATGTTTTTAGGGGAATTTTCTGTTTCATTTTTTAAGGGAGCTTACAATTGTCCATTATATATTATAAATAAGTCGTCCAATCGGTCGTAAACCTACCCAAGAATTAAAATATTTTAAACAATTAACAAAATATAGGTAACATACAATATATTTATTTTATTATTTATCAATTATTTCTATTAGTATATACTCGTATATAAATTTACAAATGTATTTAGCATATAGTCTAATAGTTTTACAACTTTTACACTAATTTCTATTACTAGGTATTTACTATGAAATATGGGTGGCATTTAAATATTATTACTTGATAGGTAGTAGCTGGTAAGTAGGTAGATATAGGTACTTATTTACTTAATTCGATTAATAAATATTAAATACTACATAGATAGTTCATAGTCATTAACAACACAAAATCTGATTATCTAATTTGTATTTAAATTTTACTCGTTGATGATGACATCTTCATCTGACATTAGTTAGGTTTTCCGGAAAGAAGTGAAATTTAACTTTGACCAATTTACTCTTACCAGTGTAAATAAGTTCAGCTAATAATGCTAGTACAACTTAATAGACTTAAGATTTTAAGAGGATGTCAGTGTACAGTTTGTTTTCTCTCTCTGACTCACGCGTATAACATAGACAAAACGCATTTACAATATGTTAAACCCTCAAAAATATTATCGTCTATAATTTTTGCAAAATGTGTTTTTACTCAAAAAAATAATTCTACGCTAATGTGTTTTTAACTTTTATGTTACGCATGGACCAGAGAGAGAAAACAAACAGTGTGCTATTGCATTGATATCTATTTAAGGATATAACTAGAGTCGTAGGGCATAGCAAGACTGGCCCAATTCAAAGGCATAGCAAAAAAAGGAGCGTAAAATATTTATACTCTTATACTATATATTTAAATAAATCATAAATATAGGGACATTTTAGACTATTTGAGATAGTTTAAAATTTAACAATAGGTACACAATATAGGATAAATATATTTAGTAAAAAAAATATTACAACATGCTTATGATATAAAATTATTAAAAAATTGATCAAATAGTAATTAGTAATTAGTCCCCTATATTTTTCCTTGCCTATATAAATATGGAATTGGTACTGACGGTTTATCTTAACTGCAGGTTTCAGAGAGCGAACTCAACGACGAGCAAATAGCAATTTTATTACAAAACGAAGAATTTCTAGTGCAACTGCGTAAAAACGAACAATTTCTCTCCACTTTGGATAAAGGCACGTAAAGTAGTCTATACATTATAGACTATAGTGATTATAAATGAATACATACCTAGGTACAAAAGTTTTCTATATTGTAATATTGTCGTATCTTTATATATATATATTATGGAATTGTTCGGTGACATAATTAAGGGGGTTGGAATTTCAGGAAAATTTAAAAATCCTTTCATTGTGTATACATAGTATTACTTACAATTGACTATATAATTTTTATTATAATTTAAAAAAGTATCTCACAATTATTAAAAAGTTGTTGTAAAATTTTAAAATTATACACAACTATTATTATAATCTCCCATCGTAGCATCATACCAAATGGTACGAGGAATTCTCCTGTTATAAATTATATCAGTCCTATTCAATTCCATCTATGCCACTAGAATTGTTTGTTAAGCTTGTCTTTGTTTATTGCTATAAAAATGTCATAAATTCGTTAAAAATACTGATTTGAATCAACTAAGGTCATGACATTTTTATCGTTGTGTGAATTTTAGTGGATTTGACTCGGTCATGACTCATGATACTGTTTTTGTGTTTTAATAGATAGTCCTATGGAAGAACAAAGGTTCTTTACCCAAAATCATACACCAAGTGACGATGATGCCGCATTTAAAGAAAGGCTGAAAAATATGGGAAAAGGTATAAAAGTAATAATGATAAATTTAGAGAATCAGAATAATTTTTTATCAAAATATTTGAGAGATAATATAGGTATTTTAAGTTATAAACTTATAAAATATGTGTAAAACTTAACCAAACATAACAATAACAACAAAAATATTCTTTAGCTTCCAGAAAGAAATTTATCCAAATTGCGCGAGTATTCACAGGAAAAAAGAAGAAGAGCTCAGCACGCAATATATTGAATCAAGGAGACACTCACACAAAAGACAATTTATTTCTACATGAAGAAGAACATTGATACAAATATTTTACTTATTGTTATTTTTTAGAAAATAACTTGTTTGTTTTTTATTCAATTCTGTTATTGTTATTATCATTTAGAATAATTTAATAGAAAGTGTTGACTAATGTAGATTAGAAATTAGTTAAATAATAAATAACAATTTATTTAAAATAGCAATTGTTCTAAATAATTTTCAAAATCATCTTCTCTTGGTTTTTCATCTTCTATTTGTAGTTGCTCACTCCAAACATTATCTTCACTCGCAAGTTTGGAAGTTTCTGGTGTCTCAATTTGAACACTAGTAGTTGGCTGATTATCAGATTTTTCTTGTTTTTTGTCGAAATATTTTGATTTAACTTTCTTTGATTTGGAAACTTGGCGCTTGATTTCTTTCTTTTTGTGTTTATAATTTAGTTTATTTGAGCAGTCCATGCATAACCCTGAACAAATTTTAAATTAAGTAAAAACAATAACACAGATTGTGTATAGTTATAACTAAAAAAACATACTGAGTTTAACTAGAGTGTTTTTCTTTTTGTAGTGTTCCATATAACTAAAATTTACTTCCCATGTCCGTAGATGTGTTTTTTCATCACAAATTTTATTGCCGCAAATGAACTGACCTTTACCACTGATTAGTTCACCTTCAGTTTGCCAACGCATAGCTACCTACATCATAAACAATATTGGGTAAATATAAAAAAAAATTATTTATAATGTGATAATAGGCGTCTTGGCATACTTTAGATAGATGACTAACCTGAGATTTTTTATATAAACTCAAGTCACAAATGCAATATTCTTTGAATAATTTATCATAATACTTCTTGGCCAATTTCTGCTCCCAAGTTAATACTTCGTCGTCTTCATCCCATATAAATTTGTGATTCTCCTGTATAACATCAATATCGCGTTTTTCTCGTCTAATACAAAATACCTATTTAAGATAAATGAATATCACACGCCAACTTTTAAACTAGATAACCAACGTACTTTTTTAATGTAGCAGATTTACAGTACTCTAAATACTTGTCCAATAACTCCTTGTGCAATTCATGCGGCTGTAGAGCAAATAATTTTTTTCTATCCATATTGTATTAGTGTTTAGTTTATATTTATAAATATACAATTAAGGGTCAAAAAGTCCATGTAATTGGTTCAATAGATTTTAGTTCAATTAAATCAAACAAATCTTATTTATATTAACTAGAAATTATAATACCTACATAAGTATAAATTGCAATAATGTAGCATTGAAATAAAGTTTATAGTTATGTGCTAAATTTTTTCCATCAATATAATTAAAAAAACTGATTATGTGTAAAACGGTAAGTAGAATAATTATAATTATTATTGACTAGACACTAGACATTAGAATAATAGAATTAAAAAAAATAAGAACACTATTATTATTATTACAAAATATAACAATTCAAAATCTGTTATCTATCTCAGTGTTTTTGCTTATATCATAATATTATTATCATACATTTTTTTTTTTTTTTACGGTGAATACGGCACTGCAGTAGCAGGCAGCAGCTAAAGAACCACAGAGGCACAGAATAAATTTATTCTATGCAACAACTATTAACATCCGGTTCTCTAAAGCAAGGTGGATATAACCTTGCCCTAAACATACAAAGTACATATTTAATGCATAGACCTCTTATTAATAAAGAAGCATCGAGTATAAGTCATGGCTTAAGAATTTAAGATTAATAAGTTAAGAAACGCAACTGTGATAACTCTAGTCTGTCAATCCTCAGATACGAGCGGGAATGGATACTTAGCGCCCCATGCGGTAATATTAAGCTTTATTTATATTTTTCCACGATATTTTTTGAATTTTGCCATGTATTTTGGTCTTAACTTGCCCGGTAAACACACGATATTTTTTTAAGATTTTTTTGATTTTTTACATCAATACATAACACCCAACTGGATACAAGTTTTGAAAGTTTCTTTTTGGCTCTATTAATTTTATTTTATTTTTGATTTTCAATGTATGTAAAATGCCTCATACGCATCGTTATATACATGGTAAAAATATCAGTAATTATTTCATATTTATGAATAGAACATTAAAATATTAGACTTGTTACGTGAAGAAAAAATTCCTTAAAAGTATTTTCAAAGACATCA